TATCTGGAAAAAAGCCAGTCCATAGTATCTAAAGGAAATTCCTCATTAACCTTTAGATATGCTGATTTTCAAACCAATGCCAATCCATAGCATCTGGAAAAATGCCAGAAGAATCAAATTAGTCGGAGTTGGCATCACAAAAGACCACGACGTCATCTATATATTGGAGATGCCAGATTAGCCCTAGAAAGTTTGAAAACAGAGAGAGTGCCCATGTGGTGCAGTCTGGAAATAGATCTACGGAAGATTTCATCCAAGGCAATGAGGAAAGCAGAAAAAGTGTCCCCTTATCGTAAACCTGTAGAGGAGAAAAAATGCTCTCCAGAAGAACCATTAACAAGTATAGAGAGAGGTGGAAGAAATGCATCCATGGAGATATTTTCTCCATGTTTGGCCAAAACATTTTTTCAGGAGGACTTGGTCAAGAATTGACAAGTCGAAATGGTCATCAGCCTTTTCCCAGTCTGGTTTCAACATAAGTTCAGGCTTTCAATCTGATGCCTCGAATGTACGGCTTCATGAGCAACAAGGGCACCATCAAGGATCTGTCTATTATTAACAAAACAATGGTTTTGGGAAAATAACTTGACCCAGGATAGTTCTAAGCCTCGCGGCAAGGACCTTTCAGATGATTTTACAGTTGGAGTTGAGGAGACTTGTGGGTCTGAAATCTTTAAGGTCAATAGCTCCCTCAATTTTGGGGATGAGGGCAATGAAAATGGCAGTCATTTCTTTGTTGATGATGCCTCTAGGGTTAAATTCATCAGAAAAGACCAACATATCAAGAGAAAATGGATTCCACAATCAAGAGAAAATGGCAACCAAGAGGCCATCAGCGGTCAGTGCCTTGTCTTCACCAATGTTGGAGATGGCTTGTGAGATTTCCTCCACTTGTAAATTGCCTTCAAAGCCACAAAGCAGAGATGGAGTTTAATGTAGGGAAAGGGAGGTCAGCAAAGTGAGAACAAGGCACTGATTTGGCCGAGAACAAACTTTAGGAAAACAAAACATTGGTAGCATCCATCACATTAGGTTCAGCAAACAAGCTTTAAGTAAATAGATATTTGGGTAACGCAGTGACTCATTGCCTAGAGCTAGTCATCTCATGGAAGAAAGCAGTATTTTTGTGGCCCACCACTAGTCACTTAACCCCAGATCTTTGACACCAGTAAGTCTGTTCCTTTTTGACAGTTTGGAGGAACTCAGAATTGGCATCCTTTCTCCTTTGAGTCTCGACAGCGGAGAGATTTCTGGTCTCTCCAAAAGAGTCAAGATCCTCAAGTTCCGTGAGAGGGGAGGTCTCTTTAGAAGAGTCAAAATCCTATAATGTTGCGAAGTCTTTTATAGTCATTTATGACTTTCTCCTCCTTTTTTCAAAGATTGGTTGGACTACATGGGACTGTGGAGCTCCCCACCAGCAAAGAATTGTGATCAAGGTGTTAAGTCAAACCTGTCCTGCAACAGGATGTAACCACTAGCCATATGCTAAAGAGAAATAGTTTGACTGCAGCCAAGCTTCAAAACCTGGTTTATAGCAATCACAACTGAAACCTCTAAAAGCGATAGTTGAGGGAAGTTGACTATGAATCTATCACATCATTGCAGAGGATGCAAAAGAGGAGTGGTTGGTAGAAGTGGAGAAGCTAGTTTTCAATAAGAGGGTGTGGGAAACAGAGTTCAGGCCAATCATGGAGGAAGAAGAGGAAGGTGGGAAAAGAGCTGTACAAGTTGGGAAGCAAGGAGATCATGACACCAATGCAGCAGGAACAAGGAACAAAGTTTAAGGATAAAACTAGCCTTGGAGACTTTGGCTTAGGAGAGGCTACACAAGTTACCGAACCATCATAGTCATTTTGGACCATTTAGGAGAGAGTTGGGATGACTATGATCCTCCCCATCATTCATATTGTATTGGTTGTAGTTCAAGCCATTCATAATCGTTGTTTTTTGAGTCGCTTTGGATATATATTTGTGATTTGGTGCGCTCCTATGAATGTGATTGTTGCTGTATAGTCCAACTCAAACCTTTGAATTTATGCTCAATAGTAACAACCTAAAAACTATTTAAAGGCCACAATAGCTTCAAGTTATTCTCTTCTTCTTTTTTTCCATTTTATCAATTTTCACATTTTTGAAATTTTCCTATTTTTCCTTATTTTTATGGGGAATCAAGAAGACATATAGAGCCGACTCAAACTTGGACCTACTCGAGTCTTGACCCGGTTCCAAGTTTTCAAACATTGTTCCCAACTATCTTCTTAACCTAATGGTGGCAATAGATGAATGCTTCCATTGAGATGCTTCATTTTCATTGATGATTAAAGTACTCCTAAAAGGTTTTACTGGAGTGAAGCGCTCCAAATATAGCACCATTTTCTCCTCTAACCATTGCAGCTAATCACTAAGGGAAGCTTCAAGAAACTCGTTTTATGAACAAAATGATGGAAACTAGAATAATGTGAATATAGTGAATGAGCATTGAAGAAAGTGAATATAGGGAACTTTCTTTGGGGGGTGGGTTGGTTAGCATTGAAGAAAGTGAATACAGGGGAACTTTTTTTTTTTTTTTGTTGTTGTTGTTGGGGGGGGGGCGTGGGGTAGTGTTGCAATAGAAGCCACCTATCTCGGAAAGGCGGAAGACTATTTCTTATTCTGTAATTAACTTCTAGAGCATTGAAGAAATAGCGAAGAGGTTCAGAAAAAGTGAAGTCCTCTCGTTTTAGACAAAGAATACCAAAGGCACTTCATCCCCCTTACTAGAGTACCATATGTCTCTTATCAAGAAGTTCAATGGAGATTTTGGAGAAAATTTAAGGGCTTCCTATTGATTAACAGTACAATGCAATGCAGGGGATTTGATAATCTTCATGACATAAAAAACATAATGGTAAAAGAAGGTTTTGGTCGGCGATCCTTTCTGGGATCTCAAGTCTAAGGCCTCGGGAACCGATCTTCCAAGGATTACATTTTTTCTTGGAATTTGGGATCTCGATCCCTTTTTCAAGGGAATGAGTTCCTTTAATCATGTCATTCTGTTCCCGGCTTCTATCGGATCTATTTCCTCAGGACCAAGAGTCGTGGACCAAATTCCATTACAAGTTAGAAAGTATAAATGTTTAGAATCCAAAGTTCCTAGCTCACCTTGTTAGTCACTACAATAACTTATGCATTATTGCTTTCTTAAGGGCAATATTTCTTAAGTAAATAACTTGTGATAATTTAGAGTTTTACACACCTCATGAATAATCCACCCCATGATCCTCCATAACAAATAATCCAACCCATTATTTCATAAGCAATAACAAAAAGCAAGTTATTTCATATATATATAGTTTTGGGCTAAAAGATGGCGACACAAGGTTTCGTACATTACAAGAATCAACATTTAAACTACACAAACTATAGAAGACATAATTTACTAAATGAATTGATTTATTTAACATACTTATATAATTAACTAAGGAGAAATTTAAAGTTTCTTATTTTAAGGGAAATTTATCAAAATACCTATAAGAGATGCATTATTTGGCATTTTACACAATGGCAACTATCATCATCTTTACTTTCATTAGTATTTTGAAATAAAATCAAACAATATGGGTAAAATGTTAAATAATTTGTATCTTAAGAGAATTTTGATAAATTTCTCTCTATTTAATAAAAATGCAACATTACATATTATTAATTCAAGAACGTTGGCAACTATGTTGTAGAGCCAAGGAGCCCTATTTAAACTTACATGAGGACCTCATTTTTCAACTAAACGGCTCCTATAAAATTTATTGCTTGGTCCATAATATGTTGGATCATTTTTTGTATTACGCTCCACCAGTTGAGGATGTCAAAAACATGTGTTGGGGAACTTTGGATCTTAATCAAAGGATCTTGCCCCCCTATATAATAACACTCGATCCGATCTTATCTAATTAAGGAACTTCATCCCTAATACGCATGGGTTGTGTTCCTTAAGTTTGAGGTTGTCCATACATTGATCCCCAACATAGGGATCTTCTACGTAGCCTCGATCCGTCGATCCTGCCCCCAATCACATTCCCAACAACTATAAACAATACTAGTATACTACCAAGTAATTCTAGGCAAGCATAGTGAAGTGAAGAAACTCCATAGAGGAATCAAATTCATTGTGGGTGATGACAGAAGGTGAAAGTTTAAGAGGAGGTTATGGCAATCAAAAATTGGCTAGATACCTTCCTTTGGCCACATGGCTAGTGAATAATGACATTAGGAGGATGTCGCAATCAAAAATTGAAGAGATACCTTCTTTTGGCCCCTTGGCTAGTGAATAGTGACATTACCAAAGGGTAGAGAAATCCTAAGATAACTGAATACTTTTCCATTATTATATATTGGTGCCAATATGATACAAAAAAATAGTATCAGTATGGAAACTTATATAATATCATTGTAATTAACATATGCAATGTAATCACACTGCATACGGTGAACATAATAATCCATGTATCATATAAACTAGCTCACACACACGCAAGCGAATGCTCGCACAAACGTCTCAAATATGATACCCCTATCCATAATTCCATGTCTGCGATCTAGATTTAGCCCAAGTTGGGCAAAGCCCAACTAGCCAAACTGACCCATACTTTCAATATACCTAAGAGACAACCAATGAACCACAATCTAGAGCTACATCGCCCTGTATGTGTGGTTCACATCATGCATGTGGCACATACCCTTAATAGGAGAGAAACAATAAGTTCCCACTGCATCAATCAGAAAAGAAAATTTTAGGTTATGACATGCAACTCAAGTGCAATGCACAAATTATGCTATTATAGAACAATTCAGGAAGATGAGAAACAAAAACAGAAGAAGCAAAGATTAAAGTAAACCAAAATCACCCAAGAAAACACTCTGACCAGTACTTCCCCAAGAGATGCCACACAAACCCTAGGTTGATTTGAACCATAATTTTAACATGTGAATGCTACCTAAAAAAGGGAAAAAAAGGGAGAGAATACCTGTACAAATTCCACGAAGGCAATCCGGGTAGAATGATGATAATCTCCTAACAGTCTTAAGCGAAAAACCTGGAAGCAGTGTGGCAGAGATCAGTTTTTATTTTGCTCACTTCAGCATCTTGCAAAGGAACCATAACTTCGACCTCATTAGAAGAAAGTCAAAATTAAATACTACTGACCTCTCCACAAAATGTCTCAAAAAAAAGTTTAACTTCTGCCTGAGAAACCTATACACAAGGGGAACAAAGGAATTCAACAAGATAATTTTTTTTTGGATTGACTCATCAAGATTATGTTTCATGAAAATTGACACAATATCAGCTCTTATTACAGCATTCCAACATGTCCCAAGGTGGGTTACCTTCTTATCAATATTTGTACAGTAAATGGTTCTTGCACACATCTCCCTTTCATCCTCAGACTGCAAAACATGGACCAGTGAGAAGCAAATGACAAAAAAAAGAATCTAAGGACCTATGGAGGCCTAAGGCTGAATATTAGAGATAAACAAGAGCATTAAGATCTTTATTTTATGTACATTAAACCCGGGTGCCTATTTTGATAAGTTAGTATGTTGCAAGTCCATCTCACCTTCGGCAAAAACATTGGGTTAACCGGTGCAATTGCGGTTTTTGAAGGCAGCACTCGAACTGGGTAATAACCAAGCATGGTGCCAGCAAGACTTAATGCAGCCCTTGCTCCTTCTGGAGTTTCAGTAACAACGGTACATTACTATGTATGTCAAGGAGTTCATATATGTGCTCATTGCGAAGCAGATCAATGCTGACACATATCTGGTTAGGAAGATACAGATATGTGTGTGCCATATGTCCCATTAAAGTAATTTTGTAGTGAGATTTCAATGACTATGGTTAAAAGAAAAAGCCTAAGTTTCTATTGAGTCATATATAGCATCCTTATCTGACATTATAGAGAAGAAAATCTTACCCTCATCCGTAAATTCTACAAATGCAAACCGAAGCACAGAATTTGGATCACCACATACACGGCAGTCAACAACCTAAAGTCAAAAAGAACAATTTCTAGCCCATCATTCAAATGCATATTTCAAGGGACTACAAATCAATTAACAAGGAAATAATGAAAGAAAATATGGACCAACCAGATTTAGGAGGGATAATAATAAGTCATGGTGGTTAGACACTTAATCCCAAGATAGATATTACCTGTCCACAATTAACGAAAAGAGCAGCCAACCTCTCTTCTGTGACCTACATAACAGGGAAACAAAATGAAACCTTGGACATGATAGACACATAGTAGAAGAGGACACTATATGAAGCATAGCTAGATTCAAATTCAGCTTTACAGAAGATGAAGAAGCCTTACGAAACATTACCAGCTAATTTACCGTAACTGATGGAAAATAACAACTGAAAGCGAAGGAAATAGGCTAAGCAAGCATTACCATATTGATATATACTTATAACAAGAATATAAATCAGCTTCCCAGAAGATGAAGATGCCTTAAGAAACATAAACATCATTTAACATGAATAACAGAAAATAGCAATTGAGAGCCAATAAAAACAGCAAAAATAAGTATTACTGGATCAATATGGATTTCCAAAAAGAATAAAAGTAAGCTAGGTAAAATAATGGCATATAACAACTGAAAGCCAAACTAATCAAACAATATAAGCATTACCATGCCTATATAGATTTCGATCAAGAAAGGCAGTAGATAATTTAACATAAACAATGGAATGTAACAACTGCATGATAAGAAAATAGCTAAGTAAGCATTACCATATAAATATAGATACAAAATAAGAGGGTGCCTCAAGAAAAATTAGTGAAATTAGTGGGCAGTGTAACATAAACACTAGAAAAACTCAACAGGAACATAATAGAATATATTTACAGGAAGCGTCAGTCCAATAGATTTATTCTACAAAATGATAAAATTTAAGCCACCAGACAAACTACATATTTTCTTCAGCTTGATGACAGCTAACCTGATGATCAATGTCAGAAACATATACAGTTCTTCTAATCGAGTCCTCTCGCTGAGCCATACTTGTCCGACTATTTATCCTCCTTTTCCCTTGATTATAACTGCTGTTCTTCTTCTGAAAATACCCATTTATGAATACATGGAAATAGCAACAAAGAAAAATTACAGTGTCAAAAATCAACGAGGAGGATGAAAGGTTTTATAGTACCCTTCTTCCATTTCCATTTACATTATGAGCCTGCATCATATAATTGTTGGCAAAAGGATATGTATGGTTCACTAGCGAAGGAGGAACAAACTCCTCAGCCATTGGGTTAAGCTTAGACAGAAGATCTTCGAGCTCCCTCATATCTCTCTTAAACCCTTCCTGTAATCCCCCTGATACATCACCATTTTGACCACCATGCATACCGACGCCATTGATCCTCCTTGGTTTCATCATCCCCTGCAAACTTTGCAGTCCTGTGTGATCCAATTTTTGAGAAACCGGAACCTTGTGATTACCACTGTGCATGTGTTGTTGTAAATTAAACTGGTTGCTCGAAAAAGTTTGCTGGTTCTGAGAAAAATGCTGGTGATTTTGTTGATCAGGATCATCCAAACCATGAGAATCAGAAGTAGTCGTTGATTCATATCTGGTTCCTTGCAACTCCTCTTTACCGAAATTTCTACTTGATGAACCAACATTCAACCCTAAATCCGCACTGGAACTATCCACCACCGCCATGATCAATCACTAAGAATGATTTTTTTTCTTTGATATTTTCTCTTTATCGATGATCCTATTTCGACCCAAAAACAACTCAGCCAAGAAACCAACCACACACTCTTCTCCAATGGAGCATACCTCAAGTATCAGACAGACATGGCCCCGTCTTTCTCTCTCTAACCGTCAAACCCTAAAAATGGCCGAGAGAAACAAGAGAAAAACCCTAAAGTGCACACATAGTACACAGAGCTTTAGAGAGAGAGAGAAAAGAGTTTTAGAGCGAGAAAGGGAAAGCTCTGCAAAAGAGGAAGAAGACGGGTGAAGAGTGGAGGGCCATTGGATCGTCCGTTTCTTCTCTCTCCGCCCTTTTGGACCTTCTTCCTCAACGTCCTAAAATGGAAATGCCATGCCAATGGCCTTGCACCCATGCGCCCGTATACGTGGCGCCCATCCGAAGATCCCGCGGTCGCATGTGCATGCCTTCTTACTAATTTCAGCACAGTGAGAAGAGATCCACGATTTTGACGCGTGTCGCCTCCGCCAATGAGGGCCAATCGATGCCTGGTTTTTAAGCCGTCTCTATCCATTGCAGGAGAGAGAGAGTGGGGTTTCTCCTCGGGCGTTGAAATTGGACAATATAGAGCACTGAGGTTTAAGTGACTAAAACGGATTAGGGAGTAGGGGTGGCAGCGGGACGGGCCAGCCTTAGCCCTGGTCTAGCCTTGTTCCCGGGCCTTGTCCCACGGCTCCACCCCTGGCCCAGCTCGGCAAATGAAGAAAAAAAAAAGACAAAGGGCTCAGGCAGGCACTTAGGGTTGGCCCGGGCAGGGCTGCCTAGCCCATTGCCAGCCCTATTTTGTGTAATATATGTTCCGAGAGATGGAGATGCATTAGTATATGTCTCTTTGAGTGACTCGGTGAACTAATGACGGCTCGAAATTAGTGGTTTAGATGGATGGAGTGGATCCCCCACTTATCTAGATCAGAAAAAATAATAATAATAAAGAAATAATAAAATTGGCACCCATTGATTTTGGTCCAAATTGGTGGGGGATCGGCTTGGGGACTCAATAGGGAATTCGGATTGGGGACCAGGATCGCTACCCATCGTTTTCGATTTACATGGATGATTTCTAATACGGATCGCTATTGAAACACTCATTTACTAAAATTGAATTGGTGTGCTAAAATTCGGAAAATTTTTAACTCTATTAAAGAGCGTGACTTTCTTAATTAGCTTAAATTGGGTTGCTCTATAATGATGCTATCCAAGTGAGATGTTAGTGTCGGTTTCTTGAGTAATTAGAATACGTATTAATTTGCTTTAGCACATTAAGGGGTCGTTTGGGTACCTAAAAATCTATTACAGGGAAATATATAAAATATAAGATTTACCATGTTTTGGTACACTTCAACAATAAGAAAATGAAAATAAATTACATAAGATTTCTTCACAATAGGTGAAATCTATTACGTGTAGGATGGCTGGGAAATCCATTATGCGCTTAATCTAAGTATAGGCGTATCTTGCCGAAAAAAATCCTCTTTCTCTCGCCATTCAAAAAAATCATCTATCTCCCGCCATTCTCCCCTCTCTTATGCAAATCCATTCGCCCGTCATTCCTTCTTTGTGTTGCATATATCTATTTTTACTTTTTCTCTCTAAACTCTATTTTTACTTTCTCTCTCTAAACTCCACTTATAAGTGTTTGCACATGCTTCACACATCCACTTCTACACTCTCCTATGAACACATCCATTTTTACACTCTCATGTGAACATCCATTTCTACATCCCTCTATCCCAGATAAATTATTACTAAATCTTATAAAGAACAGAAAGGATTTTTTTAGGATTAGGGTTTATATCAAAACAAAAAAATTGATAAATTATATTTCATTTAAATTATAATGATTAGTCTTTTGAAGAAAAAAAATGATTTTTTGAGATTAGGATTTAGATACAGATAAAAGAAATGATAAATTATTTACAATATATTAGCTTATTCTTTTTTTCACATTGGCCTCCTTCAATATCTCAATCTAATTTTTAAAATACTTTACCATTTCACAATAATTTTTTTTAAAATACATCACTATTTACTATTTAAACGACAAATTAACGATATTTAAAGGTTGTGACTGAAATAGTTCACTCAATGTTTATGACCAATATTAATTCACACTAAGTTATTATTCTTTGAGGCATGACAAGCCTGGTATAGTCATGCTATCTATACATATGCATTGAATATTAAATAGGAATGTCTACAAAGAGACTATTATCTTTTGTGAATGGAGATCACAATCATTCTCAAATATTAGATGTCAAATTGGATAGCTTGAGGTGAGTCATGAAGTGATTTTTTTTAAAAAAAAAATTGTATTTATTTAATTACACTAATACAACCACCCATTTTGAAATTTAAAGCACAATAATGATTGTGCGCACAAAATATAAATGGTGTCTTTGTAGACAATTCCATATTAAAGCTCTATGTCAGTAAGAGCAATGTAAGAGCAAATTTCCCATATTTTTTCCAGACATAGCCAAACAGTAACAATGTATTTCTCAAGTTGCATCTAAATACATCCCAAACAATAACAATTCACTTGCATATAATGTATTAAGCTAGTAATATATTTCAAAGACAATATATTTCCAGGTATCCAAACAATCCCTAAGGTAAATTAATATGCTAAAGTATAAGTGTGTAAGAGCTCATTTGCCTCCATGTATTAACAAACCTATGTCTTGAATCAAAATCTTATTATGTCAAACATTGGATATGTTAGAGTATGGTTACTCAAGTAGGACTTGTTTGGATGGCTCTGAATGGTACCGAGGTTATGCAAATCTTATGTTTGGATCATCTTTGTTGTATAACCTGGTTTGTTATTGCATACAGATAGATAACACATCAAACTTGAAATTTTGTGGTAGTTTCTCTCTCCAAAAATTTTGAGACAGATTCTCTCTCTAAAATTTGAAATTTCATATCTTGAAAATTTCTCTTTCCAACAATTTTGAGATAGTATCTATCGCTAAAATTTTCATGTAGTCTCTCTAAAATTGATTTAGTTTCTCTAACTAAAATTTCAAGCTACTTTCCATCTCTAAAACTTAAAATTTGATATAGTTTCTCTAAAATCTCTTTCTCTCTCTAAAAAAGTATAGGTCATTTCTCTTGTTAAAATTTGATATAGTTTAATTTTAAGGTACTTTCTCTCTCTAAAACTAGAAATTTAGTATAGTTTATCTCTCTAAAAATTTTGAGATAGTTCTCTCACTAAAAAGTTTCAGATATTTTTTCTCTATAAATGTTGATATAGTTTCTCTTTCTGAAACTTAAAATTTGATATAATTTCTCCCACTAAAAAAATTGAGATTATTTCTCTCTAAACAAAAATTAGATAATTTCTCTCTCTAAAATTTGATATAGTTTGTCTCTCTAAAAATTTAAAATGCTCTCTCACTAAATCTTGAAATTTAAGATAGTTTCTCTCTCTAAAAAAATTGCAATAATTTATCTCTTTAATTTTTTTTAGACAGTTTTTCTCTCTAAAATTGGACATAGTTTATCTTTCTAAAATGTTAAGATATTTTCTCTATCTAATACTTGAAATTTTGATATAGTTTCTCTCTATAAAATTTGATATAATTTCACTGTCTAACATTTTAAAATACTTTTTGTCACGATCCCGCCCCATATCATACTCGCAAGCTAAAATCACGTTCGCCGAAGGACAGTAGGGTGTGGGACCACGGCCACATGTAGGGAAAGCCATTCAGGTGTAGTGCGCTTAACGCTTTGAAAAGAAGGAATCAGAGCCAACCACGAAAGAAAACAAAGCACGAAGTACATTGGTTAGGTGCCTCGATCTCGCATTCCAGGTCGGGTTGATCTGATGGCTTGGTTTTCAGGTTCGAGATGACTCAGGACCTGAGATCGCTATCTCGGGAACCACGTAAAGAAGACGCAGGCATGGGTACCAACCGATGAGAGAGGAATTAGGATCGTAAGGTGAGACTTACATCACGTGGGTCCGTGACACACTCGGGCTGGCTCGCGTGGGTGCCCTCTTAGATCACGTTGGAAAGCCCCCTGGCCTATGGCCTGTTTGGAATCACCTCCCTTGACCTATTTCTCCTTTCTTGCAAACACACACACACACACATTAGAAGTATAAACGAATGGGGCATAGGTACCTTGTTACAGGGTGAAGTGAAAGTGAGAGAAAAAGTTTGACTAGGCGGCTAGACTAACGCAGTGGCTAGACCAGTAGGTGATTGACACTGCATGGTAGCAAGGCGGGAACGGTAACCCTTACTGGCACAACAACATTACTACTAGATGATGGAACCAACACCGACCAATCTGGCACGATGGCTAGTCTGTCATAGCAGTAAGACGGGTATGGTAACTCAATCCGGCACAACCGCATTAAGGCTAGACGATAGAACTAGCATGACAACACGAGGCTCAGCCTGCCCTATAGTCAAACAAGCGATGGAGAGAAATAGTGAAAGTGAAGACTAGCTTGACTCTCGCTAGGTCTTCTAAAAGAGACGAAAGTGAAAATAAAAGTGACGGTGAGATAAAAAGGTTGGAAAATGAGATGAAATGAGAGAGATGAATTAAAAATGAAAATAAAATAGAATTAGCAAATGAAAAAGGAACTAAACTAAAATAAAATGAAATAAAGTAAAATAAATTAAGAGGGACAGAAGAAAATAAAATGAAATAATTAATGAATGAAATAAAGTAAGGTATGGTGGTGATAAAATAGGTGAAGATGAAATGAAATAAAATAAAATAAAATAAATGGGGTAAATAAAATAAAGAAAAATAAGATAAACTAAAATAAATAACTAAATAATAAAAAAAATGAATGAAGTAAATAAAATAAGATAAGGGAGTATAAGACAAAATAAATGGCATAAAATAAAAATAGCATTGAATAAATTAAAGTAAAATAAAATAAAATAAGTGGGATTATGTAAAATAAAATAATAAAAAAATAAAAAGTTGGTAAGAGAGGGAGAGAACTCGTTTATTATGTTATTTAGGTGAGAAAGTGAGTGAAGTTGGCTATTGGGTTTTTGTTAAGGTGGGTTTAGACGAGGCATACAAAAGGAACAAAAAGGGGCAGGTGAAACGAAAAGACTAGAAACGAAAAGCAACGAACGAAAGAAAGAAAGCCGGGTATTTCGTTGGTGTGGGGCGTGGGCCTGGGCGGCAGGCGTGGGCGTGGGCGTGGGCGGGGGACGTTGGTGTGGAGCGTGGGAGGGCGTGGGCGCGGAGGGGGGGGGGGGGGGGCACGGAGCAAACTACCACAGAGGGAGATGACTAAGAACAGGTGGTGACAAGTGGACAACAGAGAACATGGTGGCAGGGAGCAGGCGGAGAGAGAGTAGGTGTCATTTTTTTTAGAGAGAGAGAACATCACAT